ATCTCAATTGGAAAAATCCCTCATCCTTTTTTTTGTATCAAGATGGAGTAGTAGAAAGCCAAAAACTTTCTTTCCCAAAAATTAATCACTCCTAAAAATATAACCCCTTCATTTCAAATAAATTATCTGTTATTGAATTGTTTCGAAAGTATTGTCCGTTTTTATGAGACTACTGCAAACTGTGAATATTTATTCGATTGAATCGAAATGAACGCCATTGCATTTTTCCAACGTAACTCATGTCGATCAATTCCATCAGCATGAAAATTGCGTACTCGGGATTCGATAAAGTCGACGAAGCCAGTTTTTGCCTCGTCCTGATTGACGAAGGTTTCAACTGATAAGAAAGTTATCGGAATGCTCGACAAGAAGGAAGTCGGTTGGTAGGAAATCTGAGAAGTATGGTGGGTGTCCAGTAATGGTGGGTGGCAGTCCGCGTTTGGTGGCCCGGTTTTCGTGAGGCTGCTACGAATAGTGTTTCCAGATCTGAAGCAGGTCCTGATGTTATACTTGAATCCAATCCTTCTTATCCTTTCCGATAATCCTCTGATGTAGGGAAGTACAAGTACTGGTTATGGCGGCTTCTCTTCCTTGTGGAGCTCTTGTTGTCTTCTAGCTAAGGCCTGTTCTACCATCACTTTGGAGTAACCATTCTGTTGAAGGTCATTTTTGATGATGCCTATTTCCTTTTCGAGACCTTCCTTTGTATTACAGATCCCAAATGCACTGTCCAGTAGAGTCTTGATGATTCCTCTCTAAGTCGATCGATGGTGGTTGGACAGCAAGAACTCCACAAGGAAGAGAAGCCGCCACAACCAGTACTTGTACTTTCCTACGTCAGAGGATTATCGGAGAGGATAAGACGGATTGGGTCCAAGTATAACATCAGGACCTGCTTCAGATCTGGGAACACTATCCGTAGCAGCCTCACGGAAACCAGGCCACCAAACGCGGACTGCGATTCCAAGAATTGCATTTACCGTATACCCTGCGAGTGCGGAGAATCATACATCGGTAAAACTGAAAGGCCATTGAAAGTTCGCGTTGTTGAGCACAAGAAACACACACAGCGAGAAGAAACCAGCAAATCTGGAATAAAAGAGCATGTTTGGTCTCTTGGTCTCATCAACACAACATCAAGTGGGCTCAAGCTGAAATCATCCACAAAGAGGAACACTGATTTAGGAGAAAATTCAAAAAAGCTCCATATATGTTGTCCAACAACGCATTTAGTCAAGCTAGCGTAGAGATACGTAACATATGAAAACATCTAATCAAGCGAAAAACGACCAACTTTCGCCAAACAGTCATCTCCCGCCAAAACCAATGAAGCGGGAAGAGGGGATAGGTGAAAACAATCGAATGACCTATAAATAGTCATCCCTCNAGGATGCAAAGGTTTAAGATGGCTTGATGGATTTTGAGTATGGCAGTATGCAACAAATTGTGGGAATGCGACAGGAATGCGACAGGAATTACTTTGGGAAAAAAATATATTTTTGGTGAAAAATAATAAATGACTAGGAAAAGGTCTTCGAATGACCAGTTCTCGTATATTGAAATGAACATCATTAAATAATCAATTATTTGATTCTCACTGATAAAAAGAAAAAACTTACTATTTCGCAAGGCCTGTGGAATCGACAATCTCAAACTGAGTAATGAAATTACCTGAAACAAAAAACATAAAATCATTTTAACGATCAATAAAAGTTTTATGTTCATTTTATGATAGTTCATGCAGAAAGGTCATGAAATTTCTGGTAGATATATTACGGAAACATACTCAATACTTTGAAGTGAAAAATGGCAATCCTTATTATTTCATTTTCATTGTATGTCTTACTTATTAAATCGAAGGTTAGTTACCATGGAATACATATAAGATGTGATCGTTTCCACAGTTAACAACAATAACAGGGAAAAGTTGAAATAATGTCTTACTGCTCTATAAATGCTCCATAATCAGGCTGATATGAACTGGTGAGTCTTCTACAATTCTGTTCGACCATCAGAATAAGACGCCCTCTGTCATGGAGTGTCTGATTGTCCAACTCGTGTACCACGGCAATTTTTCTTGTTCCAAAGATATAATCTTAAAAGTAAATTGATGAAGGTAGCTACTTGATAGAAGATCATCATGAAAACACAGAAAGTTTAGTTTCTCATTTTTCATAGTAATAGTCCGCGATGGAATCATGTTTTTCCACTAACTACTTATTTCCTGTATGGGCTCAGGGAATTCTCCTTGGAATCAAAGGAAAGTATAACTGAAAAACCAATGTGGTAATGGGAAAAAATACTTTTGATTCCATTTGACTACTATTACAATGAAAAGGTTTACAATTTCACCAGTAAATACTTGCTTGAAATGTAATTCGAATTGATACGAACAACAATCTCAATGTTTTACTGTAATATTCTTCCATCCTTCTTATATAATTGATTGATTGATTCCGTGTTAGGAATCACGCGTTAAAAGGTCAGACCTCGTTAATCTTTATCTAGCACAAGTTTCGACTTCTGAGGGTTGTTGTTCGTAGGGGTGCGACAGTTGGGTAACGGAAAAACAGGTTTTTAATAGACAGAGATAATAAATCACATATATTCGACAAACTTATCTAATTGCCCGGCTATACCAGTAAAACAGATATCATCGACTTGTCTGTACCAGTACGAGAAACTGTAAGTCAACTGATTATTATGGATTTCATTTTCTATGTTATCCATGCAGATTTCAGCCAGCGAAGGACTCAATGGGTTACCCATTATTGTCCTTCGATGCATGAATTCCATCCACCCATCAGTAAAATTCACCACTGAGAGGTAAGTAAATGATTCAATTAATTACCTTGACTTCAATATTACCAAAAATTATTAATAAACATGATTTTCCAGTTTTTCACAAACCATCTTATACATAATACAGCATAAAGTAGCTGTATTCAATAGTATGCTTCCCAGACTATTGAAAATTCCACCGTCGGAAAATAATTTCCAGAGATAGCTGCGTTTCATCAAACAAATCGCTGTCAACAACGGTTATGAGATAGATATTATCGACCTAATTCTTTCCATTCTTAATGAGGATCTAGAGGTGGTTTCAAATTGGGGTGAAAGTAAGCAGATTCAATTCAATGCCACAAAAACCCAGGCATCGGTTTTCTCCAAGAAGATAAATGTCTCCGAACCGGATATATTCGTTGATATTTTACAAAGCTCAGATCAGACCTTCTTTGGAGTATTGCTCTCATGTATGGAGCTTCGTCCCTGAGCTTACAATGAAGCTGCTGGATTTCATCCAGAAAAGCGCCATCCGCCTGATTGGAGACATAAACATGACTTGGAACCTTGATAGTCCAGAACATCGAAGAAAGGTTGGAGATTTGTCTCTCTTCTATAGATACTTTCAAAAGAGGTGTT